AAGGAAAAATACGATAAATATCTACATTCACAAAAACATTCCGAAAGTTGGAGTATGTCGAAACTTGACAATGTAAGATGAGTTTTAGACACTTTCAATTGGATAAAAGATTAGAAATGCACAATTTGCAAAAATTCTTCGTTTTAAAGCCATTTCAGCAGCGTTATGATGATAACATAGCCATATAGCTAAGAATGTTGAGTGATATGTAAAGCTATGAAGTGTGAACTATCGAAATCGGTTATGATGACAGCTTAGTGCAGTGGCGTACTAGATATATGTTGCTGTTAAACGCTCCACCAACAGCTCGGTTTTTCTACACAAACCATTTAGCAACAAACGAGAGTCGGTAGTGCAACGGTTAGATATGATCAAGCAAAGAGTGAGATCTGGGTTCGATTTCCTGCCGACGTAAACGTTTTTGCACAGCACTCTACATGCGGTGTGTTTCTGGTCAGTACAACAACAAAGGAAAGGGGGTAGAGATTTTCGGTAAACAGACTGAATAGAAGAGTAACAACAAAGATAAAGTAGATGCAATGACAAACAATAAAGCAGAAGTAGTAGGTATACTTTGCTGCGCACCCATTTATCCGCTTCATAACAAGGTTATCTGCTTAAAAGGATACGAAAGAAGATCGCTTTCTCGATCGAATCAGTCACAGGTCATTTTGTCCAGGAGCCTGAAAATCTCTCCTGCAAGCGTTTTCGTCGCCATCTATTCTACATGTTATCCTACTCTCTTAAACCTCCTTCAAGCATACTCTAATCAAGAAAAACACCAATGATTTTCTTATTCAACCATATACAGAAGTGCTTTCAAATAGTTTCGCTTTGGAGAAAGCAAGTCATTCATTAGGCAAACAGAATCTCCAGTTCATAGCACTACAATACAATGAGCTCTTACAATCAGGAATACCGAAAAAAGGATTACGGACTATGTTGAACAGTGCACAATTTCTCAGAGTTACGGAATGCGCTAGACGTTAAACATAATGGGTGAGAATGAAGGCATATTTGGCTCATACATGGATCCAGAAATGACATGTCAGCGTATCAAATCGGCATTTTTATCTTCCCAAAAAAGTCTGAATAGCGCACCGGATAGGAACACCAGATCATTTTGTGTGTCTCAGAAGACACTTATAATTTGAGCGCTACACGAATTCTCACAAATACTGTGCAATCAAAAGCAACTTATGCATAGATAGCAATAATTTCATAAAATTCGAACATTAACTTCGACTGGATCTTATTCATTGCATAGATGATTTCCAATAGTAATTTCATATTTGTCGAAGATTGGCAAACATCTCGCAGCATATTAAATAGCAGAGTTAGTGAAAGGCATGGAACAGATAAATTTGTTGAACACTTAAAGGAGATATGATAGTTGCAATGCATTACCAACCTCCTTACTTTAAACCCATTTCTGATTCATCTCACTCATTTTCCCGTGTTTCTTCAGGTGATGACGCAAAACCACGACAACGAAGTTTGTCAGTAATGAGGAGACCTCCTAAAGTGTGAAATGTAACGCTTCAGAAAAAAAAGCACGCGAACTTTACGAGAAGTAATTTGAAAGGGAGAGGAACTTGAAGCTGACGTACATCATAGCCTCGCCATATAAGAAGCTTTAAAAATTTTATCGCGTCGACGACATAGAATTTGATGAGTCGACGTAGGCTTAGCGTTCGCCTATGAAAACAAAAATAGAAAAAATTCATTAAAGAAAATGTAAATAATACATAAACGACGAGACAAGTAGTGAAGAATCTGGCGCAGTACTATATCATTAGTTAGAAGAAAATGTGCGAATAGTTATGTGTTGCAAGAATAAACAACGCACTCGATATTGTCGAACAAGTTTTCGTTACGATTTTCCAATGCTTCAACGTGTAAGATGTACCAGCACTTCTTTCGCGTGACGACGAGCAGAGCTTCCTAAAGGTGGTACATCTCAAATCTTCTGTTCTAATAAATCAGAACAAAACCAGAGCTCTCACGATCAATACGCGGTGAACTATAATTATAAAAGAAGGAAAGATTCTGCATTTCCATGAGCAAAAATTACTATTTTATGTGAATGATATTTGGAAATAAAACAACGGAAATCACTATTGCGTACCTATAGGTCATATAGTCTGTTGCGCAATCGCCATAGAGCTGCGGTTGTTTGGAACAAGGATTGTACCAAATCTATGCGCACTATTTCCTCAAAAAAAATCAGTATGTTACTTTTATGTGTATTACAGCGACTATTTGAATTTTCGGAGTAACTCACTCCATCCATTGCATTAGTAAATCATGCATCTCTAGAAGTGTTCAGTCAAAAAATTGTTTCCACTTCTAGAGAAACTTCTTTGCAGCAGCACTCCCCCAGTATCGCATGAGATGCTCTGCAAAGAAAGGCGTTCCGATATACGGATTTGTTTGAATAAAAATGGTTCACAAAGAATATCATACCTTTCGTTTCGAGTGTTTTTTAAAGACCACGCTGAATGAATGCATATCTCGCAATCAGTTAGAAATCATTTTTAGATTGACCGCCACTTGCGGTGTTATGATGTTTCAATGTACCCAATTATGTAAAGTGGTCTGCAAAAGCATTTGCGGCAGTCGGGATTAGAACCCAGATTTCACTCTATCCGGGAGCGTATGCTAAACCGTCGCATCACCGATGCTGGTTTTTACAGCACTCTTTCCACGCTACAACGTGTTATCTGTCAACAGCCAACCGCCTACGGGTTCGAATTTCGGCTGAAGCAAACGTTTTTGCACATCACTCTACATAACTGGATATATCTCGTTATCATTATTTGAACCAACATGTCATGTGGTCTTCTAAATGGGCTGACTTATAGAGCCCTATACACGTGTTTCGACCTTGACGGTCTCTCAGCCGGCGGTAACCTTCGTTTTTGGCCAGTCTTCTCGGAGCGTTCAGTCCCCTATACTGAGAGTAAGCGACGACGAACATTTTACACTATCTCTCGAGTGAAATTATCACTGTATAGACAGTGTTGTAAACATGATTGCTCTTGGCTGGTAGATTCACTTGATAGACAATGTAGAATCTTCGTCGTCGCCTTCCCTCAGTACATGTTACTGAGCGCCCCGAGAGGACTGGCTAAAGACGAAGGACAGCGCACGACTGATGAGACCGTCAAGGTCGAAACACGTGTAATGGGCTCTAGAAGTCAGCCATTTAACAAACCACATCACATGCAGGCTCAAATAATAATTACGAGCATACAAAGTATTTCGAAAGATCACAGCAGATAAATTACTCCATGAGTGAAGAATGGTGATAAACTGACCAAACGGTACCGTGGGTAACCGTCCATCTAAGATACATGAACCGTCGCCGGAAGAGTACTGCTGAACATGGAAAATAATCTTGGAAAAGCGATGGCAATACTTGAACTTTATAAAAAGGAATACTAACCTGAATGTGGCGCATGTGGCGCGGTGGTTAGAGTTGTCCTGCGTCGTACTCAAGGTCAATGATTCGATCTCGCGCTCATGGCTCAGCAAGCCATCCATTCCGCCGGGGTCGTTAAACTGGTATCAGACAGGTCTCAGACTTGTCTGGAAGGATAAGCAGCACTGCGGGAGGCCACCGCGAGTCGATGTAGAGGCCAGATGTGCATTCAATCACCTCAAGCGAACTAAAAAATTAAAGTCGAATGCATAGCGCATCCCTCAGGGATTGATCAACGCCGAGTGCTTTTTTTAGTACTAACCTGCACAATACATGAACTATCACGGAAACGAATAAACAACAGAATGAATAGCAGAAAATATACTTAGACATACATATTGATATGCACATACATATGCATACATATATATGCATGCCCATGTACAATATATATTTACACATCTGTACATACGTATATATATATATATATATATATATATATATATAATGTTTGAAAATATGATTTCGTCGATTATTTAGCGTATTAATCGAAAAAACAACTACATGCAAATGCTTCTTTCCCGTTGTAGAGTGATGGGCGAAACTTCCATGTCAGACGGGACTCGAACCCACATTTCACTCTATCCGAGAGCGCGTGCTCTAACCCGTTGCACTATGATGCGCATTTTGCTCACCACTCTTCCTACTCTACAACGCATTGATCTGTCAACAGCCAAGCGTCAACGGTATGGCCTTGGTAGTTGGTATCGACATGGAGCCCAGGCACGCTGACAGATATTGCGTATTAAATGATCAAATAGAATTGATTTATTTTATTCAACCGCTTTCAGCAATGGCAAATGCTTCAAATACACCCAGTGCTGTAGAATGATCTGCAAAATAGATGACAGATGCGCTGTAGAGTAAAAAGATTGGTAAGCAAAATGGCGTCCGTAATGCAACGGTTCGAGCACGCGCTACCGGATAGAGTAAAATGTGGGTTCGAGTCCCGCCTGACGCGGAATTTTGCACATCACTTAACATTACCCGGTGTATTAAAAGAATCATACCAGTGCTGAAAACGGTTATATAAAACCGATTCAACTTACTTTTTTTTCGACTGGAACTGCGTTAAAAACGCTCCTTATCTGTATGTTTTTATATAGACAAAATACTTCATACGATGGTTTTTTGTAGACATTTGAAAATGACGACTTTTGAACCGTAAAAACCCCATTTGTGGAAACATTACTTTGCAGAATTGTTAGGCAAAAGCAATTGAAATAGCTTGATTTTGGTATCGCTTAACTGCGGATTTTCTTGCGAATATTTTGCAACACATCTCGCCTGTACTCACTCCAGCATTCCGTTCCATTTCTAGGCAGCTGACATTTCAAGTTTGAACGGGAAATTTTTTCCAGTGAAGAGGAGGAAAAAACGCAAATTCGCTGAATATCACGTGATTACAGAGGCATACGACATGAATTTGAAAAAAGTTCATCTGCAAGCACGAAGCATTGACAGTTGGTTGTTGATAGGATTGATGAGTTGTAGCGCAGAGGAATAGGAAAAACACGAGTCGGTAGTGTAGTTGGTTAGCACGCATCCCGGAAAGGATGAGATGCGGATTCGATTTCCGTCTGACGCTAACGCTTGACACATCACTCAACATTATTGGCTCAAGAAGTACGTAACATTAGGGAATACTGGCAGCTGAGTGACGATTGGCTTCCATGGGACCAAAAGCCATTTGTAGCGTCATAAAAGGAGAAAGAGAGAAAAAATTCGAAGAAAAGGATGGTAACATTTCACGCCCACACAATGCTTTTGACGACTGCCAAAAATTCTTTTTGCCTGAAGAGGCTCGCGTAACAAATAGATGAAACTCTACGACTCCGTCTCAGAGGTGTATTGATACATAAGAAACGGAATAAATACGAAAAAATTGATTCAATACAGCTGATCGTTCAGTGGAATTATGCATGAATGCGTATCACCTGGGTTGAACGGTGTGTCCCATGGCTGGATCACACACAGTTCCTGGAAGCCGTATACGTCGCACACAGCATATCTCCTAATTTGCTTCGAGTCACTAGATCGATTGTAGATCATAGATCTCGTAACGTAGATCATCCACACCGAATGGCCTCTCGCTATCGAATGCAATCTTGCGGCGAAAGAGTGCTACACTTGAGGAGAGTGCGTGGCGAGCGAAGACGAGCAAACGTTGTCTGTGCGTCCATGACATGGCGTGCATGCTGAGTTGGGCGTCATTCTCAAATACCTTCCATCGATCCTGCGATTCTAACCGATATGACCATATTTGAGCGCGCGTGGTGCAGTGGTTAGAGGTATCCTACGTTAAGCATGCAGTCGATGGTTCGATCTCGCCTTCACGGCCTGCCATGACTTTTCTCACTCTGAGGTCAGCAAATTGGTTCCACACTTGCTGAGAGGATACTTGCTGTGATTTGATGCAATAATAATAGAATTACCACCAAGCCATTTGCAAAAGGCTCGATATGCACTCAGTCACCTAAAATAGTCCTCGATGGACTCGAATATATGGTGAGCTTCTGAGGGGTTTTATCAATATCGAAACGGGTGTCCTCTTCCTGCCCCTAGCGGTTACTTTTAAGTATAGCAGGGAATGAGAGCATTTCAAAACAAAAATGTATTTATTGAAATTTCTTTTGCATAAATTGAAACAATTTCGTTGAATATTAACACTAGTTAAATTGTATGGTGAGATTACTTCACACGTAAACGATTCATATGCTTAAAGAAAATGAAGTCCTGAGCATAAGATCATGCAGGATACGTGAAAGCGAGAGACATAACTTGTATAAATCCATCAAGTGATAGAACGATAATCCCAGAAAATAAGTGAGACCCACCCTTTTTTATTCGTTCCACATGGACGATGTGGGTCTTTTTTGTCCCACACCGCAGTCGCAGTCCAGTGACTCGCCGTCCGACTGCTACGCCAGCCGAAAATAGAAGCAGTAACATAGGAGTTCAACTCGCAGGACTCTTAGTTATCAAACCTTTGAAAGCTTCGATATTGGCATCTGTTTCAAGAACGTTTATTCTGACACTTTAGGCTGTAACGCTTACAGCTACCCTGTTGTCAGCACATTATTCGATCTGCAACATTTCAGTCTCTACATCAACATTTCAACCCTTTCACGCCAGCTGTTGATAGGAGACGGTACAGCGATGGTCGCTTACGCGGCTGTTGGCGGGGTCGACCATGCAGATGGAATACTTTATTTCAAAATGCTGTAGTTTCGTTACGAACTTAAACTTTTATCGCCAATAGAAGGATTAATGATAAATAATGGTGGAACATCTCCCAGATGCCCTACTTCGAGACTTCAGGAACGGATAGAGCACGCATTCACGGAAAGAGTGAGGTGCGGGTTCTAGTCCCAGCTGACGCGAAAGTTTTGCACATCGCTCTATATCAATGAGATTCACGTTCGCCAATCTATTCAGATGTCAATAAATACTAAAACATAAACTGAACACTTGATTCCTGAAGGGCAGATCTTTGACACTTATGCTATGTCGGGATCTACCTGGACAATCAAATATTGCGGAAAATTTCAGCAATGACTGTCCCGATTAATTACTTACGTACTTAGACGGCCCGTTTTCACTCACAGTGTAGATTCTAGCACAGGAAAATTGTGCTGGTTTAGCTGTTTTGTTTCCTGGAGTCTTGAGACAAGCCTAGCTGGAACTTCCCCAAATCGTTACCGCATTAGAGCAGTCGCTGGCTCTTGTGCATCAGAGAAATACCACTTTGCGACCACTAGCTATGAAGACGACGGTCATTCCTGGTACGGTTTCCTCTTATCTAGGCTTTTCGGACGAAAAAGTTGAACTGCTTCAAAGTCTGGGTGACCATGCTGTGAGGTTGAACTTCCGCTGTAGTTCGCAGTCCGTCACTCAGGAATATCTCCAAATCACAACTATGAGGTAAGCCATCTGGCAGACGTTCCATCATTATTCATCATTAATCCTTCTAGTGATGATAGAAGTCCGAGTTTGTTACTAAGCTACGGCATTGTGAAAACAAAGTATTTCATCGACATGGTCGACCGCTTCAACTGCCGCGCAAGTGACCAGCGCTACATCGTCTCCTATCAACGGCTGGCGTGAAAGGGTTGAAGTGTTGATGTAGAATCTGAAATGTCGCAGATAAAGTAAGGTGCTGATAGAAACGTAGTTGGAAGCGTGGCAGTCCAAGGTGTTGGAACAAATGTTCTCCGATGGATGCCAATACCGCAGAATTGGTAGTTTTGACAACTAAGCGTCCAGCGAGTTGAACACCTTCGGGTCGGCAACTATTTTCGGCTGCTGCACCGCTCGGACGGCGAGTCATTGGACCGCGACTGCACTGAGCTACAAAGTCGACCCACACCGCCCGTGTGACCCAAAAAATGGAGTGGGCGCACTTGTGTTTGAGACTATCGTTCTATCGCTTGGTGGGTTTATAAACTTTATGTCTCTCTCTTCCACGTATCCTGAGTGATTTTCTGCTCACGACTTTATATTCTTAGAGCATATGAATCGTTTACGTGTGAGGAAATCTCACTATACAATTTACCAAGTGTCAACATTCAACGCAGTTGTTTTAATTTAAGCAAAAGAAATTTCGATAAATACGTTTTTGTTTTGATATGCTGTCATTTCTTGCTATGCTTAAAAGTAACCGCTAAGGACAGAAAGAGGATACACGTTTCGAGATTGATGAAACCCCTCAAAAGTTCACCATATATTCGAGTTCATCGAGCACTATTTCAGGTGATTGAGTGCACATCGTTAGAGTTTTTTCCTGCTAAACCAAAGGCAAGCATATAATACAATTTGTTCGCATGGCTGACCTTTCCCCGTTTCGCCTTTTTCAGATCTCGTTTGAAATCGAGATTTGGGGGTTTCTTGTTGAACTCATGGTGGTACTTGGCTTAGTGGCTAGTCTGATCTTTTTATACTCTAAAAAGGCAAAACTGGCGAAACGTCAGCAGCAAGAATAGATGTTTTTATGACATTCTTGTGCTTGTTTACCAGGAAAAAGCTGTGAATTGCTGAAGAATGCCGAGGTTTATAGGCAATCATTCTCGAGAATTTGTATGTAGTTCAGAAAGGTTTGACTGCTCGACTTAGTTATGAATTAAACGATCGGTCTGGCATCCAAGATTAGAACTCGTCATCGTTGTGGCTTCTTATGTCAGTATATGGCTTGGATTTCACACGTATTCCACATCACTCCACAAAATGTTTGAGTTTTCCTCAGCGTTTCCGATACGGCAATAGTGAAACTCACATGAACCCTCACAATGAGTTGCGGCCTATGCTTGTAATCCCACCAATGCTTCACCAGAAAAATTTGTTGATTTTTTGATATTACGAGTTTATATTTGGTGATATTCTTGAAGCCCCGATATAGACTTTATTGAAGTCGTGTCTTGATTTCAATCTCTATATTTCCAGGAAGCGCCACCTTTGCTTAATGACACAGTTTGCGTATATCAGCTCGCTCGCTTAAAGCGATAGCTACTAGTAAATGGTATGTTGAATTTTCATTTTCGACTGATCTACCTTGTTAAGAGAAAGTCAGGCATTGTATCGAAACAGTCAGGTGGTTCTAGTTGATCACCAAGGCATACGAAACATAAACCAAATAGAAAACTAAGCTCCAATCTGACACATAAACAAAAACAAGGCTTGTCCCCAAATCAGGGAGCTCGTAAAATCAAAATCTATCCGTTCATTTGTAAGTGATAAAGGTGGGGTATTTGCAGTAATTCCAAATCATCTTGCTGTCAGAATAACGGAGAAACATCTTCAGGATGTCTCCCTCTATCGCCCATCCTCTGAGAAAGGAATATAAACTCCAATGTAAAAATTTGAACAAAGAATGGGTCAACACGGCAAGTGCAGCGGGTTTAAAAACTTCAGTTATCTCTCGACTCAAGAACAATAATCCTATTTGTCCGGTCCTATACCTTTTCATAAAAACACATAAACTTACATCTACTGATGATCTAGTGTCAACCGATCCATCAACATACAAGGTTAGACCTATCATCAGTCGTATAGGCGGACCAACGGATAGAATAACGTGGTTTCTAAACCTCATTTTTACTCAGGTGCTCAAATTCATACCAACCCATCTACCCATTACCCAAATGTTCCTAGATCACCTACGTTGCGCGAAACCAAACAACTCGTACGTAATGGAGTCATTTCATGTTACCTAACTCTATACAAACGTATCAATTAACTCTGCAATGCAAGCAATTTTCGAGCTTCTAACTGAAAATGAACAAAAAATAGATATGTGTGGCTTCACAGTTCAACAACTAGTGACCCTCCTAAAACAATGTCTTAGTTGTTCAGTCTTTCGGTGTTCGGGAAAATACTTCACACAACTCAGGGGTTAGCCATGGGTCAACGTTAAGCACCTAGTCTTGCCATCGCTTTTATGTATAAGGTGGAAGCTCCAGATCTCGTTCACCGCCCATTGCTCTACTGCCGGTATATAGACGATTAATTCATTGTCTGTTCCACACAAGAGAAAATGGACAAATGTTTTGAAGTCATAAACGGACAGTCACAGCATATAAAATTTACGCGAGA